GAATGAAGAAAAAAAGTGAAACCAACCTGCTCACTTATAAAGGCAAGATCTTCGTCTCCACGAGCATTAGAGTTCTCCTAAATATATACTATATCTGAATATACACTGCTGAGAATCAGTTTAAAAAAACTGGCACAATGAAGTGTATGTGAAGGCAGGAAAATGAAGTGACAAATTTGACACGAAATTGGACAAAATGCAACAACCTTGTCTTTTTCTCCGGAATAATCGAGATTTGTGTTGTTCTTCACGTCACCCGGAGAGTTCCCAAACACGTGCTTGTTTTCCCTTTCTTCTTCGGCTCTATCTCTGGTGTTCTGAGATGAAAATTCTGGTAACTAGGCTGTGTTGGGCAACAAAATACAAAATTTTGTATAAGCACCATTGCGGTAAGGAACGTTTGTTTAGAACAACTTTATCAACATAAGACATACTTGGCAGCCGCTGGTTTCTTTGCATTCATCTTTCTCAGCAACACCTCTCTACGCTTCGCAATCTCATCGCTTGGAGAACCCGGCGTGGAGCCCACATCACTACCAGAATCTGTCGATGCACTGAAACCAATTCGAACAATTCACGCAAATATATGAGCCCCAGCCAAAATTCATCCGATAAGCACGCCCAATTCTTAGTTACTGTGATTGGATGTAAGACAACTGTATGCAACCTTGAAATGAATAAAAAACATATTCAAGGTGTATAAAATAGCTTTGCTAGCAAAACTCATACTTGGGGTCAAACCTTGAGTAAGTTATTAACATTCTGACATTTCTCGAGCGTAATCTAATATTTAAGAGGGGTCACATTTTTCATTGGTGATCACCCCAATTTCACTAGTTATGTTAAACTCATGTACCCTTTCATTAACATTGAGCTCTTTCAATTCTACATTCATGTAACTGAAAAGCTTCGATACGGAAGTCCAAATACACCAGCGGCGATATAAAATAATTACTGCGAAGTGAGGCGCTTTTCGAGACGAGTTTTTGCAGATAATATGACATCTCCATCGCAGACAAAGCAATACCACAAATGTTCAGGCTCCGATTCCCCGTAACAGCAAAATCTCGTGTTTTTTTTCGGATTCCATTTTCTTGAAACATACATGTCAAAACTCTTCTACTATCCAGAATCTTAGAAAGCGCAAGCAAAATTTTCTTAGTTTTTTGGCACTCAATGAACTGCTCGAAATACACATTTTGATGCAACATCCCTATTTCTCGCTGAGAACCGTTTGGCAGGAGACACTTGATGTCTCCTGGCAAAAGGTGAAAAGTGTATGGAATTCGACAGGCCATCACATGCAATAATGACAGCGAATTTTTGTTTGTGACCTCTAATCCTTCTTTACAAAGAGTTACCAAAGTACTGAAAAACCATTGAAAACTTACACAACTACTTCCTCTGCGATAACTTTCTTCGGGGCTTCTTCCACCTTCTTCGCTTTTTTGCCATCACCTGGACGGCTGATGATCATTGAATCGATGGTCTTTTGTGATTTCACACTCTCCTGAATTTGAGAATAAAAGAACTCTTAGCTGTGCCCCTAATACAGCTTCTGCTCCAATCCTGATACTGCTCCTAACACCTAACAAACAACTGCACGCACACACTTGAAAATACGATTTCGATACTTTGAAAAGAACTGAAATGTTAAGAAAAATTCTGGGAGCTCTAGTTTACAAATTACGATCTGAAAACCGGATCGGATTAAAACCAGTCTTGACTCATAAAAAGACGCAAAACCCACACTAACCTGGAATGTTCTAGGCTTTTTGGGAATACCCGTGGATTGCACATTTGATCTCATGAGGTCATCTCGAATACTGAACAACAATGAAGGTTGCGCTTATACAGAAACTCGAAAACGACAAAAAAAAACATGAAATAGAAAGAAAGAACTAATGGTCTGTGCATGCCACATCACTACCAACTGTATAAGGTTACGGAGATATATGACCATAATCATGACAAACTGACCATAAAAATTCTGATTCGAAGTGACGAAATGACTCCTGTCCGTACTGGTACAGTATCTGAAAATGGCTTGAAAGACAACTCTCAACAGAAAGGAAACATCTTATGGCAATTGGCTTTTATGTTACACACACTTATGAGCCTGATTTCCATGAGCATCACAATATTATGCTTCTAACGCCTTAAATTCCAAAACATATGCCATTTCCCTATATCCGCCTATGCTTGTACAGCCACCACTGCTACCAAAGGTTTCAAAAATCTAACAGGAAATCTCATAATCGACAATATACCTGTTTATTCAACAGAACATTTTTGTACATATCCCGAAACTTTTGACGGACATCCGACAATAATCCGTTGTACGACAAGCTGCTCAGCTGATTGTAACTACTGAAAATGGGGCAGGGAGGGGGGTTTTGGGATCAAAATCTTTCCAGGCTCATATGATGTTCAACGAGACATTCCTTTGGTGCATACAATTAATGGGAAACTCAGAACTTACAACGAAAACTAGCTCAAACTCATTATCAAGTTTGAACTTGATGGTCATGTCGTTGTATTTGTACTGGGTAAAGAGCACGTCTGAGTATATTCAGGCATTGTCTAAAGAAACCTGAAGGATTGAAGGAACCAGGTTAAGCAAACTGATAAGGAGTCCTGTACAGCAAATGTATTGATGCGTCAACAAAACGGTCTGCTCCTTCGTATAGCATACATAAAATATTGGCGGTACTCTTTCAAATATTAGGTTGGAAAGAAAGTCCTGCAACACTTTTTCAAATTTTTGATTTTAATTTTATCTTTTTTGGTTACAACTCCTGACCGGTCTTATATCTACCATGAGTGTCCACCACTTGTCTCCAATCGCTCAGAAAATTTCTTGATCCTCCTCCGCCAAAACCCAGCGGAGTGCGAGTCGAGAAAGGAGGCGACCTCACTTTCGAGTTGGAGTTGATCGTCTGATTATTTCGTTATAAAGATGATGATTAAAGGTCCAGGATAGGTAGCACTTATTTACAGCTCGACCAGGGGATTACGCTAAGAGAGGAAAGAAATCTTGCCGCAACTCCAGAATTTCTTACCGGGCTCATTTCGGATCATGGTGATTCGCAATGTCATGAAAGAAATGAATATTGTCGCGGTACGAGGGCTCTTGACGAGCTACCTCGGCCAGCTTCTGGTACTTCACAACCTAGGCCACTGCCTACACAATGGTGCCCATAACGAAGGGTATGTAGTGGAGCTTCTGTAAGAGCCCTACCTGTAATGGAGTGTGAGGGACGCTGCTGGCTTCTTATAAAAATATCAAAAGATCGGAAGCGCTGGTAAAGGTGAAACACGCTGTAGCGCTGAACGGCATGCCATTAGAAGCTATTGCAGATAGTGTCAGTCGTTGACACGAATCCATGGTTTTGTAGACATTTGTACTAGACAGTGACTCGGAGTACGGATTTGCTAGTGGTCGAGATTTTTTGAATTTTCTTGGATACCTACTCACTGCAGAACTTATATCCACCTCGTGGATTGAAGCCTTGAGAATGCTCTATCATTTGGTAGTCATAAATGTTACCTATGAATTTTTCAGAAAAAAAGAAAATTTTGGAAAGAGTGTTGCAGAACTTTCTTTCCAACCTAATAATATCGGCCCAGCGTCATGAGAGGCATGAGAAAAATTCTCTTGTGCATATTTCAAATTCCTTAGGATTACTATTGTTCAGGAAGGTATCGTGAGATTTATGGTGATCTTTCAAATGAGTCCTACTACCCTTGCGCTCAACCCGAGCGGTAGAGGAAAAGGTCTTTCCTGTTATTTTCAAGCATATGAAGTTTTTGTAAGGTTTTGAAGCAGTTGTCTAGCGCAATGGTACAACTTGTGACAAAAAGAGGATCCAGCTCCTTCGATGGAATTTGGTGTGGAGAGAAATGAAGTTTCTCAAGCCTATTTCGAGAATTCTATCCCACCTAACGAGAATACAAATTTTTGCTTTATTCATAGGCAACCAGCAGAGATTTGAAACGAGAAAACACATCAATTTCTGTATTGAGCTTTAATACATTCGACATAGTTGTTGGTATGGTGCGCACCCCACTAAGAAGAATCATTTGAAAAAAGAAAAATCCTTGATGCCAATGCGTCTTCGACCGTTCATCTAAGTAAAAAGGAGCGCTGGAGTACTTGGTAACAGAACCGCTTGGGTGAGCCATGTGAGGTCATTATAAGAAGTAAGATGGAACCTAGTCAGGTTCAAGCCTTTCGAGTATGTCAGGTCACAAGAGCTGCACGTTGTTTCTAGATCAGGGTAAGACTTGAGCTCGTGCTCTGCCCATGTTTGGATTGGTTGATGGACTACTTGAACTCAGCCTCTGCGCTCTCTAGCGGGTCCCTCTCCTCTCCAAGGCTTAGTCCTAGGGCATTCTCTAATCGTCTGTGCTCTAGCCATCGCGGCAGGACCATTGAGGAAAAATCAAGTAGTCCGTAAACCGTTTGGATTGGGCTTTGCCCCTGGCTTACTACGAGCAAATCAGATATGTTATAACCAGTAGTGGCCTAACCTAATCAAAAGACTTGGTAGGCACCCTATTACCT